AGTGATCAAGTAGAGAGGGATCCTTGGGGATGTGATCAATTAATTTCCAATTTCGTTATACAGGTGATTACCAATTACTGAAATTCAATGAGTCTTAGTGGGTAGGCTAGACTATAGATGCAATATCCATCTCTCGATCAACCTCGACAAGCATAACAATGTAAACAACCCAAAACCTCAATTAATCTACTCTCTTGAGCTAGATTGGTAGGATCGAATTCAGATTCACTCTCTCGAGCTGAATCAACGATAACCCAATCACTACAATCATCAATCGATAACCTTGACTGTAAACCTCTTTCTCAAGCAAGCATAGAATACTATACTAGAATTGCATTTGCAACTACAATTCATGAGTTAAACCTCAGTTACCAATTAAACCCACTTCGAAACAACAATTAAATCAGTAATTACTAACACCCATAAGCTAATTGAGGTAATTAATCACACCCCCAAGAATGGGGGTTTATTCCACACATTATAAAAAGTAAGAAACTATTACCAACTATGTTGTCCATGAGCTGGGTAATGAATTTCAAGTCTTTACAATGCTTCAAATCAACTAAAATTCAAAACTCACTTGAAATCTCTACTCAAAAACTCTAAAACTAGTGTTTGGGATCAAGAACTCAAGGTAAAATCTCTCAAACACTAGAACAGTTGTTCAGAATTTCGGACTATCAAAACTCACTTCAAATCTTTTAATTTTTTGCATTTATACTCTTCCGAATTTTCAGCTTGTGGACCGATCGACGGAGTAAGTCGTCCATCACCGACCAAGTCGGTGATGAGCCAAGTGTCTCGCTTCATCGCCTTCTTGATTTGCCTCTGCACCATTGGACTTCTGTAACTTTAGGTGATCAGGATCGTTGTCGCCGATGGTCCCTTTCCATCGCCAAGTTGGCTTTTCTCAAGGGTTGGCACGCTGTAACACTTGGCAAGTTGAAGGGTTCGCCGAGTGGTCTTGACGATCACCAGGATTGCCCTTCTTCAACTTCTTCATCTTTTTCGCTCCTTTTTGTCCGGTAATGTCCTTGTCTTGCTCTTTTGTCTTCATTGCTGCAAATTAACACTTTAACATCAGTTTAGAGCATAAATTAAGCATTGATAACAATAAAATTATGAAAATAAAGCTCCAAATGAGTTGAAATCCCTGACTCATCAACATCTCAACTTACAGTTGGATGAGGTAAGACAATTATTCAGTGAAGGTAAGTCACATGAAGAATTATTATCAAATACATTCAGTTAGATATTTGATCATATTAAAAGAATGGGCTAGCTACAAGAGAGGGTGGAAGAATGGGACAAAGCTTTGTGGATGCTAAACAGTACTGGAAAGTTCTCTGTTAGATCAGTTGCCTGGGAAGTCATTAGACCCAAAAATGATCTGCATAAGGAACTATTCAGCTGTTGGGCAAAAGGGGTGCCTTTCAAAGTGTCTTCTTATTTATAGAGATTATGGAAGAAAAGACTACCAGTTGGAGAAGTTCTCAGCAATGGTAGGATTGCAAACTTTGTGGTGTTTAGTTGTTGCAATCAAGGAGTTCAAGAATCTTTTGAACACCTTTTCATGAGATGCCTTGATTTGAGATAATGTGGAAAGATTTTACAGCAGTTGTTGGACTATTTGGCCCTTTCTTACACTTGAGAGACACATTTAATAAGTGAGAAACTTCAAATATGGCTCCTAAATTGAAGCCTTTACTCAAAGCAGTTCCTATGTTTATAGTGCGACAAATATGGAGAAGAAGGAATGCTATAGTTCACGGAGAAAAGATGTCTAGAAGTAGCATGAAGATGGATATTAACAGGAATCTATGTTTAATGGCAAAAAGTCTATAGCCTTGGTTAATAAATACTCCCTTTCCCTTTGTCCCTAATTATTTGTCCACTTTTCCATTTTTAGTTGTTCTTAATTACTTGTTCATTTTGACAAATCAAGAAAGGATAATTTTTACCTATTATACCCTCAATTAATTACTTTTAAAAAGGTAGAACTTCTTGAAAATCTGAAGTTTTTAATTCATCTATTTCATAATTAATAGGAGTAAAATGGTAAACTCACTATGTCAATCATTATTTTCTTAATAGGTGTGTCAATTCAAAAGTGGACAAGTAATTAAGGACAGAAGGAGTATGTCTTCTACATGATCTGATATGGTTTATTGGCTGAGTTTTACAGCCCTAGGATAGGGTGTAAGGTGGTATATAGACTCCAATTGAGGGTGCTTTTATATGTAACACTGATGGAGCTTGTAAAGATAGTTTTGGTTTAAGTTGATCAGGTGCCTATTGTGTTAGAAATTATGCAGGAAGATTTATATTTGTTGAGACTAGAATGTTGGGTTACTGTACTAACTTGGTGGTAGAGTTCAAAGCATTTCGGCCTGTTAAAAAGATTTTAGAGGGTCTATGGGAGACCCCTTGGAATGTTGCTATGGAAGTAAGGAAGATTTGAAAATTGATGGAAGAGGTTTCAGTTGTGGTGGAGCATGTATTTAGAGAAAGGAAATAAGTTGGCTGTTTTTTTAACTGACGAAATTTATTTATTTTTACAAATGTCGATAATACATCTTATAATAATACTCAAGAGCTATAAAGAGATGCAAGAATGATCTTAATTATGGACAGAGTTCAAGTTCCAAATTTAAGAATTAGAAAGTTTCAACATGAAGCTTACAATTAATAGGAAATGGTGGAATAAACAATCACAATTATACGTTTACAAACAAGAAGACTTTAGGACCAGCGTGCATGACATACAAATGACAGAAATACAAACTACAAATATATATTATGTAGGTATTCCTTAATAAAATGGAAAAATTACCTGAATACACAACTTATTTTATCATATTCTCTAAAATTTTCTACCATTTGAAAAAATTGCAAAAAATCTCTACTTTCTCCTATTCTCGGATACATCATTTTACGTGATGCATTGGTTGGATAAATCACTATACGCGATGTATCGGAACATAATACATCACTTTACCCGATGTATCAGTTGGATACATCACTACACACGATGTATCGATATGTTGAGTGATGTATCCAAAATTGAAACGCGATGTATCGAGACGTTGAGCGATGTATTTAAAATAGGGACGCGATGAATCGGGACATTTTGGATGTATCTAGATTTCACTAAATTTAAGAGATTTTTGTAATTTGAAAAAGAATATGAATAGAATGTAATTATCTCTTAACACTATGAAATTTGTGTAAAGTTCCCTAAAAAAATCACAATTTTTTTGTAAAGAAAAACACATTGCATATCTATAATTAAATGTAAATACCTTAATATATAAAAATAGTTAATCCGACTTCCTCAAAACGGGATATGGGCCAACACACAAGCTATACGACTACTAACCAGCAGTGAACCCTTAACGCGAATAATAATGATTGATACTAAACCGAAGCCTTTATTTAAAGCAATTCTTATGTTTATAGTGTGGCAAATATAGAGAAGGAGGAATGATATAGCCTTTATTCAGAAATCTATGTTTAATGGCCAAAAAATTATATCCTTAATTAGTTGATAAATCTGTATTCTACCTGTTTATTGGTTGAGTTTTACAGCCCTAGGATAGTGTGTAAGGCTCCAATTGAGGGTAACATTGATGGAGCTTGTAAAGATAATCCTGGTGGTGCCTAATGTGTTAGAAATGATGCAAGAAGATTTGTATTTGTTGAGACTAGAAAGTTGGGTTATTGTACTAACTTGGTGGTAGAGTTCAAAGCATTTCGGCTTGGATTGAAATATATATTATATTGCACCTCTCAGAATCTCGGAAAAAGATTCACTCACTGTTAAAAAGATTTTAGAGGGTTTATGGGAGACCCTTTTGAATGTTGCTATGGAAGTAAGGAAGATTTAGAGATTGATGGAACTAAGGGGTGGGTTTCAGTTGTGGTGGAGCATGCATTTAGAGAAGGAAATAAGTTGGCTGCTTTTTTAACTAAGAAATTTTCTTTTTTTTAGATGCCGATAATATAATCTTACAAGTTATAACAATACTCAAGAATCATCAAGAGATGCAAGAATGATCAGACCCCAACTTCCAAATCTAAGAATTAGAAAGTTACAACATGAAGCTTACAATTAATAAGAAAGTGTGAAATAAATAATCACATCTACGACTTTAGGACCAGCGTTATGACATACAAAGGACAGAAATACAAACTATAAATATTTCTTAATAAAATGGAAAAATTTACCTAAACACAACTTATTTACCATATTCTCTAAATTTTCCTACCATTTGAAAAAATTACAAAAATCTCTATTTTCTCCTATACATCACTATACGCGATGTATTCAAAACTGAAATATGATGTATCAAAACATTGAGCAATGTATCCAAAATGGGGACGCAATGTATCAAGACATTCTGGATGTATCCGAATTTCACTAAATTTAAGAATTTTTTGTAATTTGGAAAGGAGTAGGGATAGAATGTAATTGGCTTTTAACATATCCAACTTCCTCAAAACAGAATATGGGCCAACACACAAGCTATAGGACTACTAACCAGCAGTGAACCCTTGACGCGATTAATAATGATTGATACTAACAAGTCAAAAATCGTAGACCAAGCTGCAATAACCACCACCATTACCATTATGTTCCAATTTCAAGCAAGTCGAGATCAGTAAATGAATACTATTTTGTCCATGGTTTAAAATTATAAATTCAGAGTAAATAAAAAATATTTGAAACTTAGGTCACCAACAAGATGATAACGTGATGGACCAGTCCTACTTACCAGCTATCATTTAGGTCTGTAAAATGTTCACAGCAGAATCAAGATTATGAGCAGGAGAGTAAACAAAATCATCAACAAATGGGGAAAAAATTCACATTTAACCAATCATGTGATTACCATTTCTTTCGAATATGGTGAGCAGCATCCAAAGGTAAATCAAATAAGCACAGTACTAAGACAATAAATACTAATAATCGCTACAACAATACAACAAGACAGGCTGAGAAATGAGGTAATATGTTTTGAGGCAAAGGGAATTCCCAAAAATCTATATCTGGTTCAGCAATTGCAAATGCCTGCACAATTTAAAGTTACATAAACGGATTCTGAACTTGATAGAAAATATGTGCTTGGATAATACTAGTTCTAGGAAAATATTTGTGTCGTTTTACCTCTGCTAACCAGTAAACACAGTTCAACAAATATAATCATTTCAACAACAGCTAATATGCACCTCGTCCAACCCTCCGATCATCTCGTCCCCTTCCCATGTATATATCACGGCGATAGTCTTTGGGTGGTGGTCCACCTCTCACTGGAGAACGGCTTCTTTCCCTGATATCACGGGGCCATTGGCCACGAGGTGGTAGTACTGGTGGATGAGGTGGAGATGGTGTTCGCCTTTCATAACCTTTTCTCTCACTCAAATAGCTGTCTCTCCCACGCTCTCTATGTCCCCAATCCAAGGCTGGAGGCCGTTCAAACCTACTTCGGTCCCTACCATCAGCATCAGCAAAATCAGGCCTATCTCTACGGATTGGCGGATCTGCAAACCTCCCTTCATATCTGGAATGAGGAACCCCAGCTCTGAAATCTCGGGGGTCATCTCTAGCCCAGCCACGAGGAGGGGACCTATACCCATTCACAAACCTTCCTGGAGAACGGTTGATTGGGGGGCCAGGATTGCGATGATGGGGAGGAGGGCTGGGATAACCCCTCCGAGGACTCCCTGGAGGTGCATATCGAGGCCTTTTGCACTTGTTACAGTTCTCTCGTCTCGCAAAGTTCAAGTTGTTACACCTGCAATGTCAGGAAGCCGAGTAAGATACACAGCTATGACATCTAGAACAGAAGATATTTACTTCCCCTTTTTCTTCTTCGGAGTAAGCAATTATAGTTCTCGGCATGATTTAGAAGTCTGTATCCATAGACACAGGTCAGCAATAGACATCATTCAAACAACCAAAGTGCTACATAATGTTAATGATCATTACTGCTTCCACAAAATCAAAGTACATCAGTCCTTTCAAAATCTACTTCTAGAACTGAATACTATTGAAGTAGTTCAATCATTACAATAATCAGAAAAAAACTCAATAAGTCCATTCAATATTCTTGCTAGTTTCTCAGTTAGCAGCAAAGTTATCTTTGTTTAAGCTCTTCTTGCATAAAATGATGGTTTATTTGTCACTTAAATTTATTCTAAGCCTTGACAAAACAGAGCTTTTAGCATGAGAGAATTCCAATATAAGTTGTGATTCATCTGGCAATAAGTCACCTGAAGGCAAGGCGTAGGAATCATAGGTGCAAAAGTCATTAACTGCAATTAAAACTGATCATTGATTAGAATCATGTTTCAAGTGCTTCAAATGAAAGTTGGCTTTCAAGCCGATTTATACAGCAATGACAGATTGAAGCTCTCAATTAATTCAATCCATTCAATCAAGGACTTCTACTGAGTCACAATCTTAGTCGTAGGATTCATAGGTGCAAAAATCATTTACTGCAATTCAAACCAATGAGTGATTAGAATCATGTTTCAAGTACTTCAAATGAAAGTTGGTTCCCGAGAAGTTCTAAAGAGACTATCTCCCATGCAGACGATCCTTATACAGCAACGGCATATTGAAACTCTCAATTAATTCAATGCATTCAATCAAGGAATTCCACTAAGTCACAATCTTAGCAGAGATACCATAACATTTTTAGGCAATGAAGGAAAACCATAAGTTTAGAAGAAAAGAAATGAGACACATTCAAAGGACAACTCAATGCTAACAGAAAATAGGGGAGAGAAAGAACATACAAGGGATCCGTGCACATCCAATCACCATCTCTTGGCCGTACATTTGGATTGCTTCTAGGCAGACCTTCTCCTCTAACTTGCCGTGCACCATAACCAGGTCCATCATAACTTCTGCCCACAAACCTGCCAGAGTGTCTCCCACGACCATAAGGGGGTGAATAGTCTCGATGTCTACCAGGATCTCTACCGCTACCAAATCCATGACTACGTGGTGGGCCACCTGAATGATCAAAATCAGTACTATACCGATGATCTGCATTCCTATGGCGCACAGGTGAAACAGAACCTGCATGCGCTCTATATCCTGAAAAAAATCCAGCGAATCCCAAACATAAGAGGCGCTATATCATTAGAGAAAGTTACCCATATTATTTCCTAATTAAGCTAAAGTGTGAAACCCATGAAATGCCAACAACAATTGGACTATGCTTGTATAACCAGTTACCATTGTTCATAGCCTGATGTCGAAAATAAGAGAAAGAGTAGCATGAAGAGAATGTGAATCTCAAGAGGATGACTGTCTTCAAAGTTATGTCTCAAATTAAATTATTACAGTGCATCAACCGTAGAGAACTACATTTTTCCATATCATCCACACCTGACATGATAATTTATTGAAATCCTCGAGGAAAAATAGACTTGGTTACTAAATGTTAAGCCAGTAGCACGGCGACACTCATTTCACGGTTGCCATTAATTCCCTCTAACCGAATCAAATAAAACCCATTTTCATCTATGAGAAACAACCAATACTACCAACGTAAGCAGTAATTGAAAACTTCAAGCCAGACTCCAAACTGCACCAGAGCCAAGGGACCTTACAATTACTGAACTGATAACAATCCAGGTAAAGTGCATACCATAAATTACCAAACTGCTAACAATTGAATCAAAATCCAACACCTTAGCCAAAGGACTGCAAATTGAATGAAACCAACCATAATCATCGTAAACGCTTGTGCAAATGGCTGAGAAAATCCAATCACTGAACTCAATAAACCCCTTTCGCAAACCAGCTCACAGTATGTTGATAAGTCCTATTAAGTTCAAGCTTCTATATGAAATTGATGCGTCGAAACTTACATGGAATCTCTTATTCACCAAAATTTAATCTTCACCAAAGCAACTAATCCACATGAATACCCAATTCAACTCCTACTTAACCAGCAAATTAAAGTACTAAAAGAATAAATCCCAAAAGCCACTGCTAATTGGAGAAAGCAAAAAACTGAAAAGACTAAAACATTCATTAATTTCCCTGAATCCAATTGGCAAGGATTCGGATGGACTCGAAACACCAATAACCAGACAATCAGTGTCTACCAAATGATCTCTTCATAAGGAGTTGGGGTCTTTGTCATGTTTCACCAGTTACAACTCATCACCCTTGCAGAATTTCCGGCCACTCAACTATACAACTATAAAGACAATCAGCAAAAACACTTCATTCACAACATCAACCATTCAATGATGGATCAGGACTCTCAGATATCTCATGTATCATTCTCCAATCCATACAAGCTGGCAATCAATAGTGCTATCCCATGAAACACAACATGATACAAAAATTTCACAGCCCATGCAAAAGTCCATAAAATATAATACTTGATATATACTCTTTCCTGTTCAAAATACCCCAACAAAATTTCTCACCAGAACCCCACCATGTGCCTTCTTCAAGAGCAAAGTTCTTGCACCAGGCAAAGTGCTCAGCTGTAAAACACAATAGCAAAATTCATTCACAATTTAACACTCCATAAATGATACTGGAGAACAACGGGAATCAAGTGGGTGGATAAATGGTGTTACATCTCACTGAGAAATGTAGAGGCTTGGCACGAAAAAGATCTGTCTGATGAAATAGATCTCTCAAATGTGTCATGTTGATTGCCTAAAGCCTGTAAATCTCCCAAACTACCTCATAAATATTATCTATAGTAAGATCCCCTAACAAGTGGATTCAAGGACGATAGGAAGAGTCAAACTGTAGCAACTTCACTATGGCATTAGATATGAAGGAATTGATCATGAACTACAAAATACAAAAATTAGGGAGAAAATTAAAGAAGTTCACAAAGAAGTTGAGCCTCTACTTGTTTAAGCTAGCTGCATATGAGTCCACCAATAGTATACAACATGACTTTCATGGTTTAAACTTTCAGGGACATATCGTTTTATTTGATGAAACCAGTGAGGTAGTTCACTGCAAAAGCTTGAACGGTGGAGACATACTCCAGAAAGTAAAGGCCTAGGATAAGTAAAAGTAAGATAGGATGTATGCACAACATGTAAGCATGCGTAAGAATTAAGAAAAATTTTAAAACAAAACTAGACCAAAATATCATGACCAAACTCGAAATGTGCTATGAGGGTGTCATGCAACAGACACAGTCATAGCAAAGTGAAAGAGAACGGTTGTGAGACCATCTATACTAAATGGAGAGATTGTTGAGCCTCTAAAGGCCCAACATAGCCACAAGACAAAGCCTCAACGAAATGAGAATGTTAAGATGATTCTGTCATACAAAATTACTAAATGATTAGGAACTGATCAAATAGACAAAAAGTGCAAGTGAAAACCAGAGGAAAAATGACCGAGATGATTAGATCATACTACACAGACCAAATACATCAGTCAGTGAACTAGGGATGATAACACCATGTTAACTGAAGATGAACTACAATCAAATATAGCACATTTGTCTTAAAAGACCTACATTATCTTAGAAATAACATGGGCTAAATTAAGAATGAAACAAATTATTGGCAAAGAACTGTTATAAGTTATAGTAACTATTGACACTTGTAACAAACCAGGCTTCTGCTAAGAGTCTTTTGGTTACATTCTTTTTTTACGCTGAATCTTTTTGGTTATACATTACAACTGTAGGAATTAATGTAAAACTTAGAGATACCCTAATTTGTCCAACAAACAAATAAACTACTAAGCAATGGAGTGCAATAAGCCCCGACAGTAGTATTGATATATAGGACGCAAACTGTTAGGGCAGTAGGATTGATATATAGGACGCAAACTGTTAGGGTTTACCATTGTTGACATCAAATTAACTTGATAACCACACTGCAACAGAAGATATAAATGTGTAAGCCAAATGAGACAACTGTCAGCAATTAGCACCCAAAAAGCATGCCCTGACCCTTTGAAAGTTCATGAGTTAACCTGCTCTAAAAACAAAAATGCAAAATGTGTAATATGAAAGGAATGACACGCCACATCCATGAGAAAAAAGGAGACAACACATGTCAATCCATATAGACATACACAGAGTTATTTTAAGAATTTCCAGCAAAAATAAACAATTACTGTAACTTTCACCAACAATCAGATCAATATACTCTGTCTGTTCGATCTATACGTGAAGATCCATAAAAGTTTCCAAGTAGTTTGGAATAGTTAGCTAATTGACCTTGAGGGCTCCAAAATTGATAAACAATTATGGTGAAAGAAAAATGATAAGAAAAGGACGAACCATGGCTATCAGAGAATCGATCGGAACGTGAATACGGCGGTGCATCCCGACGAACCTCACCTGGCTCGTAGTCGCTACCGGCACC